TAATAATAACAATGATACTGAGAATAACAATAATAGATAATAATGATGATATTAATACTTATGATAACGATAAAAAAATGATGACGATGACGATAATGATGACGATGAATATGTAAAAGGAGAAGAAAGAGAAGAGGATGATGATGATAACGATAATGATAATGATAACAATAACAATAACAATACTAAAACTAATAGTAGAAATACTTATGGTAATAATGATAATAATAGGAGTAGTAGAAGTTATGATAATGATGATGATAACAATAATGATGATAATAATGATAATAACAATAATAACGATAATGATGATAGTAATAATAATAACAATAATGATGATAGTAATAATAACAATGATAATGATGATAATGATACTAATGATGATGATAATGATAACAATGACAATGATAATGATATTGATGATAGTAATGATGTTAATAATAATATAGATAATAATAATAATAATAATAATGATAATAACAATGATGATGATGATGGTGATAATAATAATAATAATATATTATTATTATTATTATTATTATTATTATTATTATTATTATATTATTATTATTATTATTATTATTATTATTATTATTATTATTATTATTATTATTATTATTATTATTATTATTATTATTATTGTTATTATTATAATAACAATAATAATAATAATAATGATAACAGTGAAAATGATCAAAATGATAATGATGGTTATAATAGTAGCGACAACAAAAACAACAACAACAACAATAATAATAATAACAATAGTAATAATAAAAGTAATAATAGAGATAATATTCATAATACTAGTAACAACAACAACAATAATAATTATAGCGATAATAATAGTAATGATAGTGATAGCTATAGAAATAGGAATGATAATGATAAAGATGATGACAATGATGATAATGATTATGATGATAATAACAATAGTATTGATGACAATGATGCTGATGATAAAAACAATTATAATAAATATAATGATAATGATAATCATGACAATAATGATAGTAATGATAGTAACGATAACAATAATGATAATAATAATGATGATGATAATAACAAAAATAACAATAATGATAATAGAGATAGTAATGATAAAAATAATGAAGATGTTGCTTATGAAAATTATAATGATTATAACTAATTAATAATAACAATAATGATAATGATAATAATAATGATGGCAATAATAATGATGATAATAATATTACTAATAATGATTATAACAATAGTAATAATAGTAATAATAATGCTCATGATAATAGTGGCGATGATGAAAATAATGATAATAATAATAATATGATAATAATGAATGATTATATTGATCATAATGATAATGATAGTAATAATGATAATAGTAATGATGATGATGATATTAATGATAATGATGATTATAATAAAAAATAATAATGATAATGATAATAATGATAATAATAGTAATAATAATAATAATAATAATAATAATAATAATAATAATAATAATAATGATAATAATAATAATAATAATAATGATAATGAAAACGATAATAATCATGATAATGATAATGATAAGAAAAGCAGTAATGATGATAATGATAATAATAACAATATCATTAATAATTGTAATATGTGATGATGACAATGATGACAATAATAGTAACAATAACCATGATGATAATGAAAATCATAATAATAACAATAATAATAACTATTACAATGATACTGATAACAATAATTATAACAATAATAATAATAATAATAATAATAATAATAATAATAATAATAATAATAATAATAATAATAATGATTATTATTATTATTATTACAATGATAATAATAACAATAATTATAACAATAATAATAATAATAATAATAATAATGATAATAATAATAATAATAATAATATTAATAATAATAATAATAATAATAATAATAATAATAATAATAATAATAATAATAATAATAATAATAATAATAATTATAATAATAATAATGATAATAACAAAAGTAATAATAATAGTGATAATAAGAGTAATACTAATAATGATAATGATAATAATAATAATGATAATAATAATGATAATAATAATATAATGATAATAATAATAATAATAATAATAATAATAATAATAATAATAATAATAATAATAATAATAATAATAATAATAATAATAATAATAATAATAATAATAATAATAATAATAATAATAATAATAACAATAATAATAAATAATAATAATAATAATAATGATAATAATAACAATGATAATAATGGTAAACACTTTACACAAAGAAACGAGTGAAAAGAAACTTCCAGGAATAAAGTAAAGATATCGGGAATTTAAGAAAAATAATAATGCTTACACCCCCCCCCCCTCCCATACATACACATGCAACCCCTCAACCACAAAAAATCAAGAAAGCAGTACGACACGTTCGTCTCCCACCCGGCTGTCAGGCACTCGCAGGACGGCGCTGGCGGACGTACGAGTTTCCACGTGGGCCGGCGAGCGAGTGACACGTAAGAGAAGCGGAAACCTTCCCATTCTCTGTCATTTCCCTTTCATTCGCTTCTTCGTCGTCTCGCTGGCGGTTAGGACGTGTGTGCTAAAGGGATCTGTGGAAGGGTATGTGGCATGTTGTGTGTTGTTTGTATTTTGTGGTGAAAAGGGATTTTTTGTTTTTGTTTACATGCGAGTGGGATGCGGGGAAGAAGGGCAGGTAGAACGTTTTGTATTTGTTCTTTTAGTTTTTTTCATTCATTCTTTTATTTTTGTTGTACAATGTGTTTTTCTTTCTCTTTTTCCTTTCTAGTTCCATTGGTTAGTATTTGCTGTAATTTTTTTTGTTATAAAATTTGAAATTAGTTGATATGTTACAAACATTACAGTAAGTTTGTTGTAATATTCACAAATTACTTATTCATTCATAAATATGTATTTTACAGGGTATTGACAGGAGCAAGTTATTTTGGTTTTATTATACTACTTGTTGATATCCATTATATTCTTTAGTTAATGTATGGGAGGACATATTGGTTAGTTCAAAGTTTTCCTGGTTAAGTATTTTGGTATTTGTTATGGATTGGAATATTGAATTCCTCTTAACATATAATGTTAGTTTCACACAGCCCTCCAACCTTGCAATTATTGGTTTAAGTTACAGAGGGATGCATAGAGATAGAGGGAAATGGACACTGCCATCTTAGATTATTCAACAGTCGCATTATTACAGATTATGGGACGTTACTGAGTGACTGAATGATGCACAGAGATAAGATGGAAATGGATACCACCATCTTATAGAGCATAAAGAATATAGTCATAAACAATACAGCAATAGTTGCAGTGGCCTCATATTTACTGCAAAAATATTGGCTAAATATCAGAAATTAATGGCCAGTTTGTTCAAATTGTGTGAGGACTAACCCAATGAATTTTCATACAACAGATGCATATAAACACAAATAAATACATATGTCTATCTGTCAGGTATATATACATTTATCTATGTCTAGATATGCATGTTTAGACTGATTGATATGCACTCATTTCAGTTATATGCATGTCTGTATAATGAATGTTCATTGAGTCGGACCTTGCACAATTTTAATAAACTGGCCGTAAGTTCATAACACCCTCACATAGCTAGTTTTCTTAATTTTGGTTTTCTATAAGCTGGCACAAACTGCTAATAAAGGGGGTGGTATAGGGGGCTTGCCCCTCTGTCTATGAAATAAATAAAAGATACAAAAGGATACGTTTAGTTTATTGGGTGCGCATGATACACTAGTTTTTGGACTTATTCTCTGGAGGGTGCATCACTCTCTGTAACAGATGACCAAATTATTTCTTGTACCAACAATACAAATTTTTGTCCTTTACAAGAATATCATCTACAAAAATATCATCTTCAATTTGCCCTAACTTAGTGCATCCAAACTATAAAGTTTAATCCCTAGGTCTACTCAGTGCTCCTAAGTTTTAGCTCTATCTTGCTGTGCATACCGGGGTAAAAATAATATTTACTGGTGGGTTATAGTTTTTCCCATACTCTGTGGCAGTGTCAGTAGATTTTCCTCTAGCTGTAGTCCTACATCAAAATATTACAAGTTTCACAACTTTCTTTTTATCAACTTATGAATAGAGTTCCATAGAGGAAAAGTGACTGATTTTCTTTCATTATATCCACTGCCGGCAAAGATTACCTTGTACGATATGGTATGTGAAACTAGAACTATACCTATTCTTCATAATCCAGGAATTTCTTAATAATAATTGAGAGATGGAAAGAGAAAGTTGTGACAAAATATTACAAATAAACTGTCAGTAGTCCATTTACTATACAGGAGGTCCTCGACTAACAATGAAAATCCATTCCTACGATGGCCTCATAACCCAAATTTTGACGTAAGTCAGGACACACCTAAATACAGTACATGTATGTATATGCATAAGCACCAAAGTCACATACATATGCTAATGCAGTATGTATACATGTATTTGTCATAATCTAAAACATAACAAGACACTTCTATGACGTACATAAAAACATAATTAGGGCTTAAGGAACACATAGAAGACAAACTATAAATACTGTACATGATTTCTAGCTTTGTATCAAAGAAATGTTGAGTCGAGACTGTCATAAACCGAGGACCCCCTGTACATGGCTTCTGCACTGTTTAGCACTATGCCAAAGACCAACAAACCTCCACCTCATATATCCAGGCAAGAAGGCCTCTTTGGAAAATAAGGAACCAGGTCAGGTTCATTCATGACAGAAAAAACAAGGTGGAGGTATGATTGGAGTTCATATTATGTAATCTGATATGTTTTTGTCAATAAGTAGGGGAGCTGCTTTAGATACATGCTGTATTGGGATGCCACACTGCTTCATCAGGATTAAGAAATAAAAAGATGAAGTCTTTGAAAAGAATGTTTTAAAATGATTTCATTATTTCTGCGAAGATAATGCTGTAAATAGCCTAATAGGTAAAAGTGTATACTGACTGTCAACCATGCTTTTTCAGTATCAATAATGGCATCATCAGGCTTCCATCTGTTACTGCTTCTCCTGGGGGCTAGTGCTGTGTTAGCATCAAAAACACCCAAGTCAAAGGTGAGGTCGTCATGTTCAATTCCAGTTTGTGTTTTGTAATGTTCTGCAATCAGTAATTTACATATTAATAGTTATTTTCTTTACATGAGTGTTTTACCTTAACATTTTAGTAACTATTAATGAATATTTACAATGGATATAGATATGCATAATGAATGGATGTGTGTATGTGTATGTGTGCGTGTGCATGTGCGTGTGTGTGTGTCTGTGTGGGTGATTTATATACATGTCTATTTATATATGTAATATATAATATATGTATATTTATATAGATGATATATAAAATATGTATATTTATATAAATAATATATGATATGTATGATATATAATATATGTATATTTATATATATCATCTATTATCTTTACAATTTATTCTTGCTGTAAATATTTCAGATCTATATAGGCTATACAATCCATCATTTACATACCTACATGTATATCTCCCCCGCCCCCTCTGCCTCCCCTATACACTCATTATTCGTATATACCCCCATAATATATATTTTGTTCATATGCTTATTTTCAACAGGTTGTAAAATGCGCCGTATGTCACAGTCTCATTACTGAACTCCACAGTTCCATTTCTCAGGTAAGGAGTTTTGCTAGAAACTTGATTTAACACATGTTTTTATGTATGTATCTTTCTGGTACTATTTTTCGTTAATCTCTTCTTTGTATGTACTTTGTACTTACTTTTGTGTACTTCGTAAATGTGTACATTAAATTTCTGATCAAAATTTTTTAGGTTTACATTTGTCAAGTTTTAGTGTTTTACCTGTTCCCTTTGTAATGGTGGTTTGAGAAAGTGATAGATTACAGAATAAATCAAGGAACAAATCATTCAAGAGCTAGAGAGATTAATTGGGAAATGAGTGTTTACATGATAATGTTCGGATAGATATATTATTCCTATTATCTGTTCATCTCAAGTGTTTGCCTCTTATAATCTAACAAATGATTACACTTGGAGGGCTTGGATTTTGGAGAATAAGTTAAAGTTAAGATTAATTTTGCTTTGTTGCTATTTTTGCTATGATTTTTGCAGTGCGTTTTGGGTGTTGTTGTTCTTTTTGTTAGTACTTTTATTGCTGTTTTTGTTTCTTTCTTTTTATTTCCCCTCTTTCTGGTTTAGGGCTGCCTCTGTTATTATTGTTATTAGTTTTCCTTATCCATTAACCCAATAACCATGGATTTATGTATTGTCCCCTGTATCTTTTTCTGACTTATATTGCATACCAAGGAGTCTCTTGTGAATGCTCCTGCTTTCCCCACTTCTTGAAATAGTGGTAAAAAGCATTTTTCCCTATAATACTATTAACGTTGATGCTGTTATTATTCTTATTGATCTTATTGAATTATTATTAAAATAGAACATCAAAGACAATAAAATAATACGTAGGCAGGTCTTCAACAGGTGAAATAGCTAGGATTAATAACTAACTCCTTGGTGACAACTACTACTACTGCAGTTACCACTACTACCATTATGATGATTACCACTACTACCACTACTACAATTCCCACTACAACAACTACCACAACTACAACTACATCAACTTCCTCTACTACTGTACAGTAACCAGAGGTGGGCAGAATCGTGTGACACATTGATTGATACTTTTTATTGGTACTGGCATCCCTGTAGCAGCTCTGTACCAGCATTGTTATATCAGCATCATTAACATCTTTTTCTCAATGTGAAAAAAGAAAAAAAAAGACGCATCAATACAGCAATACATATAAGATTATAATCAGTCTGAAATGTAAGTTAATGTGTGTGAATTTCAAAATGCCATTTTCCTTAATTGACTTTTTATTTTTGGATTTTATTGGTTCTTTAAGCCAATGCCAATGGGAAAATGTTGCATTCAGTTTTGCATTGTTTTTTTTTTTTTTTTCTTAATGTTTCTGCACATAGATGGCTCTGCCGGTGCTTAGCCACCAAGGAGTCAATTGGTACATCTTATGACCGCACCTTTCCTTGAAATAGCGGGAAAACGCTTTTTATACTAATGCTATCAATATCGTTATTTTTGTTATAAACATTATAATTGCTATATTGTTATTGGCATTGCTAACAGCAGAATTGAATACTAGAAAATATTATCAAAAATCAAGGAAAGGGGTAAGCAGGTGAAACAAGTAGTTCTCGTAATTGGCTCATTGATGACTTTAGTACTTGTGGAGCCATCTATATGTAAAAATAATTACTAAATTAAATACTCAGTGGGTATGCCATGTACACACATGCCATCACCGGTAGCAAGTGGTTACACATAATCATGTTTTGCAGAAAATGTGATTTTTTTCCTTTTAGAAGTAGAAATATACATCATTTACTCTTAAAGAAGGCTACTAGATTTGCTTTTTAGATTGTGTATTAAGCAGACTTAATACACCTTGTTTATTTTGCAGGTAGACCCCAGGAAAAAAATAGATGTTGGTTCATATCGGATCGATGCTGATGGAAAGCAGAAATTGTCATCAGTGAAGTACGCTGGCTCTGAGGTAGGTTAGCAGTGGATAAGTGACAAAAAGTAGTTCACAAATGGAATTAGGTGGTTGAAAATAATTGAGTTATTTTCAATTATATAAAACCACACATGTTTTGTTGCTATATCCTTTCCTTCCTCTTGTATTTCATCTTGTTTTTATTGCCTTTATTCCCATTTTTTCTTATCTTGGACTGCTCAGGTAAATAATAATTGATAGCCTTTGGTCTCCTCATTTTTATCAATTACTAAAAAAGTTTTTAATATATAATAACTTGTTACACATAAGAATTAAAATAACGAATATGTTAAACTATTTGTAAAACTTACCCATTTCTTCTTTTGAGGAAAGTTTTTCTTCCAACTAGGTGCACAGTATATAATAGACTCTATGGGCCAAAATAATATATTAGATTTCATTTCATAAATGGCTTTTTAATATTTCTTTCATTTTGTTTCTCTTTCTTTTCCTTTTTCTTTTTCTCTCAGTGATATTTGGACGTGAGAGGAGGGTAAGGCAGAAAAGCTAATTTCAGAATTATAGGGTTGAAATTATTGATTTCCTGATGGTCAGTTAGAGCACCTGCTTCTCTGGACTCTCTAATTGCATGATTACTCAGTATCAGCTTTTCGAGTTACTGGTTGGAAATTTTCCATCAAAGTCTGAAATTTGCTGCTGCATTTATCAATTCAGGTGTGGAAGTGGGTATATCTGGGCATGGGTGTAGGTGTGGTGTGTTCATGACATACACACAACTGACTGTATGGGTTAAAAGTAGAGTTCCTGATGTTCACTTTGAACACCTGCTTCTCTGACCAGCTGATTTATATAATTACTGAGCATCTGTTTCGGGAGTTACTTGTTGGAAAGTCTCCGTTAGACTCTAAAATCTACCTATACATTCATGTCTTCATTTTTATCACTTCCTGGTTATAGTTTTGCATTATTATTCACATGTATAAGTTCAGAGCTGCTCTTTTATTTATTTATTTATTTATTTATATTATTTGTTATCATTATCACATATATATTTTTTTTCTTTCTTTCTTTCTTTTTTTCTTATTCTCATTCTCCACACCACATGCAAAACCATGTGTTCATAATATCAAGAACTAATGTTGAAGCTGAGGAAGACTTAATAGTTGTGATCCTCATTTCATTCACAGCCAATTATTTGATAACTTATTTTCACACATCAGTTTTAAATGCTTTGAGAAGTAGATGGCTTCACATTTCAGTTTTAAATGCTTGGAGAAAAAGCTTCTGTATTCAGACATTTATTTATTTTTTTATTTTTTTTTATTTTTTTTTATTTATTTATTTTTTATTTTTTTTTTATTTATTTTTTTTTTTGTCGTAAAAGGACTGTAGCAGGAACATCATTTGAAGGGGGCTAGTAGGGGGGTGGCCCCACCCCACTCTCTTTGCTCTTCTTAAGGTCCAGTTTGTCTCCCCAAGGGCCAATAAGATAGCTTTTTGTTATGTCTTTTTTTTTTCTTCTTCTTTGCTTAAATTACAATTTTGTAAATCTTATTATAGCTTAAAAGATATTATTGCTCATTTTTCAAAACTATCGGAATCCCCCAGTTGACTTTCTTCACTTTACTTGTCAACGCCCTCCCCTCACGAAAAAGCTGAAATAAATCCCTTTGAACCATAGGGATGAATTATGTTATGTTGAAGAATTGTGACATATCAGAGAACATTTCCCCTGTATCATCAGATCATTGTTCTTATTTTTCTTGATTACTGTATACCATGATTTTCATTATTATTATTATAGGCACTTGCCTTTCCAATTAAATTATGGCAAGTCATTGAGATTTTGGACAATATACCACTGAATGTGGGCCTTCCTTATACACTTTTAGCCATAAAACAAGCCTTATCTGTATGCAGTGGGTCCTGTATGATTGATATCACTCTGTACGATACCACAGAGTACACTGTGGCAATTCAGATATTTCTTTTGAAGAGTTCAGCGCTTGATGTGTATTATATGAATTCACTGTTTATATTTATTTCATACTCATATTAACAATTAGATTAGCTTTTTCATTGTGTTAATATGCTGATTAATTACTCATTATGCCAAGAATTATCACTTTCATGGGAGCTAAAAGAAAGACTTAATTGTTTTTTGTCAAAAGCGCATTATTTTCAAATATGCAGGATGAGGCAACAATGTTGTTTGCCTTCATTTCATCAGAGGCCATGCAGATTCTTGCCTGGGAGGCAGATCAAAGGCTAGGGGAAAGTAGTCTTGTGGTTTTGAGCACTGTGATAGGAGGATATTAAGTAGGTCATGAACAATCTCCTTGCATAAGTCCAGATGCAACAGGTCACTACCCAGCATCTTTTAAACACAATATGTATTAGTGGTTATCATGTCACCACTTCCAGCTCTTCTATGTGGGTTGGTGCAAGGCTCCCACCTGGTCACTAAGGTCAGACTCCTTCATTTCATCATTGTAGTCAAGGGTGACCCAGAGCTTGATGACTCTTTTGCCTCCTTTGCTTGGTGTGCTTTTGTCCATCATCCATTATGTGTGTACATTGTTGGCAACATAGTGAAAAGCTTTTGCCTACCTATCATAAGCAAAGCTTGCCTGTTAAGGTAGACTAGAACTGCACTTGTCATAGCCTTTATACTATTTGAAGGCAAATGTGTAACCAACACTGGTTAGAACTGGCAAACAACTTTAGACCTCCAACCTGAACATGGACTTCTTGCTTGGGCTGAAAGTGAGAATCTGCTGCCTCCAGCAGACTCATCCACATTGATGTTCAACTCCGATACCAATATAAATATTGAAGTTTACTCCATAATGTCAGTGATGCTCTGGCTTTCACAAGTAAACCCCTTAGCATGAGGAGTATCATATTCATGAAATAAAGGGATAATTATAGGAGGTAGTCCCAAGACCAGAGCTGCTCCATCTGTTGTTCATAGCTTTTCGGTTTTTGTGTGATGCCTTAGTTAACCTATTCATCTCTTTAACAAACTTACATCATTTCATTGATGATGAACGCCCGATAAATATCCAACTTAGATGAACTCTCATACAGTTGGTCCTCCTAGGGACATGAAGATCCAAAGAAGCTACAGTGGCAGGGAGCTTTCTCCCACTTATTCCAATTAAAACGCATCTGCAGTGGAGTATTCTTTGTCCAAGAACAAGCACTATTGGTGGATATGAGCTTGTACAACTTCACTGGCATGTCATGCTGCAAAATGTTACCATAGTGAAGATTATAGTCTTCTTGGTGTCTTTTGCATTGATGTAACATTGGCTGTGTGGCTGTGGCACACCATTCTCCTAACCATAGGTACCAAATACCACAACTCGGCCAACAGTACCTCTTTTGACTAAGTTCAAGAAGTAGGCTCCCTAGCATCACTACTGCAGGTGTTTGAGGATGAACAAATGATGGTAATGCACTCCCTTATATAACAAGAATGAACCAAATCTGCATTTGTAGGCATTCATGATGAACTCCTTACAAGATATGATTAAATGGAAACATAACATCAACACGCCATGTCTTGGTAGTCTGTACTAAGTAATGTAATGACAGTTTTTGTAAAAAAAAAAAAAATGTAGATGCACCAATTTTGCTTTATATGAACACAGTAAGTAATGCCCATCATTTGCAAATGAGAGGAATGGTAGCAATATTAACCCAATAAACATGAGTTGACCTTCATGTCATGAAAAATTTTGGCTGAAGGCTGGATAACAGGGAATATGCAGTCATAGAAAAATTTGGCTGAGGTCTGGGGTGTCAGGATTGACTTGTCATGAGTGTAAAAAGCTCTTGGAGGATGATTAGACTCATTAGGAATGGCCAGAAATAAGAGAGGAGTGAACAGACCAATATAGAAGGAAAAAAGAAAATAATGATAATTTTTGATAAAGGCTTTCATTACCATATACCTGGGGGAAAGTCACATCTAATTAGAGGGTGTGTACATTTTAGAGTGATTTTTTTTTTTTTACAAAAAGCAGTTGCTGTGTAGTTAGATATATAGACGGAACCAATCACATTTTTTCTTTAACATATTTAACTTTAACATATTTCCTTGTTAACCCACTAACACTGGTATATTTTGAAGCCAGAAAATAATATTTTCTGGGCGGCTACAAAATTGGCGTGTGGGGCTGGCCCAGAATCTGCCTGTGCGCCGGCCATGGCCCGCGACATATTCAGAGCGCGAGCTCTGATCCAACATCACACTGGCGGAACGCCCGGCAATGTTTATTTTTCCGGGTGTCTCATATATGGGACACCCGTCGTATATGGGTTAATTATATAGCCTTTACCCCTCATGGGACACTGAGTGGTAGACCATATTTCTGCTCACCATGGCCAGTAATTAAGCTTTTGTACCTTTTTTGTGGGCATAGTGGCTTGCCCCTTCATCAACTAGGCTATCTGGAACTGACTTCTGGGTTCCAAAACTCTACCTCTCCTTTGATCAGGGCTCCGACCACTGTTGCTGTTACCTGCTCCTCAATACTTGCTGTCAATTTGAAACATGTAGGCCATTACTGAACCATCAGAATACATCCTTTCCTCTCTCCCAACATTCTCCATTTGATCTACTTCTCCTTTACATTTTTATTCATTTTCTGCTCCCTGCTCCTGTATTACAACTCTTCACCCTTATTGTCTTCCTCCCCATAGGACTACCTCACTCCACACCACTCCTCTTCCTGTCCCCGTCCTGCTACTACTTCCACTTGCACAAACATTTTTTTTTTTTTTTTTATCCCAGCCAAATGGAAATGATTCTTTGATTCTTCCTACAGCCCCCCTCCTCTTCCAACAATGTCTTTTAGAACAAGTAGGCAAAGTTTCCCTCAGCAGCCATTCTGATTGGTTATGCTTGTAATAGTTACATTAAAGTCCCAAGCTCGTGCCTATCTACCCTGACTGATCTAGGTGGCAAAATTATTTTTGCCCAGCCTTACATCTCCTTTAATACTTATACCAAGGCTATTTCAGTCTCAGCTCATTGCCTTGAATACAACAAGAATTGGTCAGACTATGAAAATGTTCTGCAGTATCAGTACAGTGCTACACTATTCCTCTCACAAGCTGCTGTGAGTCCTACACCAATATTACCAAGATTATCTATCATAGATATGATCTTCCTCATGAAGTTTATATTGGCAGAAAGTCCTGCCCTGTATTATTATATCAAACCCTTCACCCTCAATGTCAGAGATTTTGAAATTTTGGCCACCTTGCCAAGCATGGTCACTGCCTCGATGTGCCCAACTTGGTTATGATTCAAATTACTGTGCATAATCACACACACTGGCCAATTGTAGTGGCTCCCTTAATGTATTTTATAGGAGCTTCCCTGCCTGCAAGTTAAAATCGGAGGTGGTAGTTCTCAGATTCAAACTTCGTCTCACTTTTCCACAAGGCCAGGAAGGAAGCACACAGAACACAGAAGAGGTTTTCTCTTATTTCAGTGCTATCTTTCTGCTTCTCTCCTGTCTACCGAAGATGTCTCAGCATATCCCCCAGTTTCTCCTCCCCTTACCTCTTACCATCCCACCTGTATACCCTCTTTCTCACAGTCAGATTCTTTTGCCATTCAAAATTTATTCTTTACCACTCTCCTGGTGCTTTCCCCTCCTCACTTTACTTGGCACACCAGTTAACCTGAATGTTCCACCCCATCTTCTCCTGCCGCATTGTCTCCTTCACCAAGGCTACCTCTTCCTCTTTTCCCTCCTCATAAGGAAACCTTTGTTTTTCAGAGATCTCCACTAGAAGCTCTAGAAAACAAAACTTCCTTGACATAATCCAAGAGAATGCTCCTCTTTCCCATTCCCCTCTACATTCAAAGTAACTGCTGACATCCATCCATCCTCCTTTTATTCTCTCCACCCCACTCTTCCTCCCACTCTCTCACAACACACCCCATCTTTCCCTTTCCCATCTGCACTATCCCCCCTCTTTCCCCTTTATATGTTGCGCTCCCTCCTGAATGTTCGTGTAACTCACTCCGGTCACCTAGATCCTTCCCATCCTGACATTCTTCCAGATACTTCACCTCTTTCCCTTATTCCCTAGTCTCATTCTCCGGGTTCTTCTCCAATTCTGACACTCATTTCTACTCTTAAACCCATTTATTACTTCATAATGGCTTTTTAACACCATGTTCCTCAAGCAATATTCCATTCCTTTCCTCAGATACATAGGTACTCTCCATTTGATCTAATTGCCCTTCACCCTTTACCCCTTTCCCTTTAACTAATCACCACCTTACTCCGTTTGCTACCCCTCTAGCATTCTACAATTTTTGACATCGAATGAAAAAATTTGGTTTAACCCATTTACGACGGATGTCGCATATACGAGGCACCCAGAAAAATAAACATTTTCGGGTGTCCCCCCAGTGTGATAATAGATCAGAGCTCACGCTCAGATTGTGTCGCTGGCAAACTCTGGGCTGGCCCCATGCGCCAATTTTGTAGCCACCTGGAAAATATTATTTTCGGCTTCAAAATATACTGGCGTTAGTGGGTTAAGGGGTGGGTGGTGTGAATATGCCATCATGGGAAAATCTTGCTATGGGCCAGGATTACTCAAACTTGCCTAGGGCATTTTGGCTGAAGGCCAGGGTGACAGTAAAAACTCACCGCAAGTGCGCAAACCGCTTAGAGAGCGATTACTCATGTGGCATTTAAGGAGCTTTTGCATTATTTTTATTGATAAATAAGTATGGAATGTACTGTCTGTGAGCCATGACTGGAAGACCTCTGGCTCCAGGAAGGATGCTATTTCCACGATCAGGATCCTATTCCTGGCTGGCGTAACACACAGTGCAGGTTGTATTCTAAAACAATACAGATAACAAAATGTTATGACTACCTAGAGAGATGATATGGAGTCTGTGCAAGGAAAACTGTCTACCAAATCAAATGACAAATATCGTCTTTGGAAAATAGCAGAAAAATGCAGAAAAAGAGAAAATGACATTGGAAAGGGGAGGCATAGTCTTGTTTGCGTACCGCACACAAAGTGTTTGCGTACACCCAGATTAGATGCACCTGTCAGAGTAGCTAGTCAAGTAAGCCTTATGCCCGTAGTGGGGCCATGTGAGGGCAGTAAACAGGGTCCAGTGGGTTAACTCATTTTTACCCTTTTTGCCACAGTACTTTACCATAGTGCTATATGGCCTTTGATGTCTAGCACATTTGTTTTAACCATGAACTATTAACCGTTTAGTACAGAACTATGCGGGTTGTATATTGAATATGTCTAATATTTGTTTGTAAATCTTAGAGAAAATAAACCAGTTTATTGATGTCTTTTTGCATATTTCATTATCATTTTTATTTCTCTCATTCTTCAGTTTCTTTGTTTTGCTCTCTTAATATATTGTACTGTTTTTTATTTTTTAGATAAATAAACCAGTTTATTGATGTCTTTTTGCATATTTCATTATTATTTTTATTTCTCTCATTCTTCAGTTTCTTTGTTTTGCTCTCTTAATATATTGTACTGTTTTTTATTTTTTAGTTTCTTCATTTTTGCTTACTTACCATGCATATCTCCATTACAGCTGCACATGATGGAACTTATGGAGACAGTGTGTGAGAGCATGAAGGACTATGCACAGGCTCGGCACAAGGAAACAGGCCGACTTGAAGCTATCAGGCTGGTAGTGGATGGAGCCATGAACCCACGCTTTAGTGAGTACGAAATGGTTCAGGACCCTGATCTCAACAAGGGTCTTGAATTCCACTGCAACACCCTTGTGGAGGAGTTTGAGGATGAATTGGTGGCTCACTTCAGGGAGAATGCGGAGAGTGACGTTGAGGGTTCACAGCAGACTTTTTGTTATGAGGTGTCTGATGTGTGCACTGGGGTTAAGGATGAATTGTAATGATAAATTTTTAGGTTAAATCATTCAAAGCCATCATAAGTATTCCATGGAAAAGTGTTCTGTGTTATTTTTTTACATAGATTTGTATGTATATGTGAGGAATATTTTATTTATGCATTTTTTTGTTGTCTAATAGTTAAGAATGTTTTGATCTATAATGATTTGTGATAAAGATATAAATTGATGAAGCAATTAAAAAAAAAAAAAAAAAAATTCTTCTACATGTATGAAATTTAATTAATGCAAATGTATGTTTTCTATTATTGTTATTACATAGCATTAAAAGGATTGGAATAATATGTCTAAAGATATAATGTTTCTTTATTTCATCCCAAGTATGATAATCATTATAATATTGCCTTTATTTTAGATTAGTATAAACAATGAGACCATTATTGAACAAACTCTGAAAATCAATGATTATAAAATTCTCAGAAATTAAAACTGCTCAGAAAAAGGATAGCATTCTATACTGTATCTAAGACTGTTTAAGAATAATGTTTGTTCTTTTTACATCCTTCAAATGTGCTACTAAATGAATTTGTATTACATTCCTCAAATTTGTTATTGATAGAATGAAAAAATATATATATGAGATTTTCTTTATTTATTTATTATTCATTAAGATTTAATTTCCCAAGAACTTTCCAGCAGGACCAAAGATATATTTTTCCTAACTTGTTATTTGGAAGGCACTTGTAGAATTAGCTCAGAGCATTTGGTTGTCAATAATTTATAAAACATGGCTTTAAAACTACTTACAAGAAAGTTTTTTGTGTGTGGTAACCAGGGAACCATAAATATAAAGAGGATGTAGAAAGAAAACATGTATATATTTTTATATTTAAATAGGTATTATCTTTTGACCGGTTGTTGAATCACATTATTTCTTTCTGTAAAGTGTGAAACCTTTCCTATGAAAAATGTTCATACTTTTAAGTTCATGGTAATTTCATATTCAGGAGCCAGCTTCATTACATATATGGACAGGATGAAAAAAAAAATATATAGTTCTTTTCACCTTTGAAGAAAGGGAGTTAACATTTTTGAATTTTGGTTGTGGTAGAAAACTTTTTATGTTATGGTTATTGTGATTGTTATAAGAACAACAATGATAATGATTATTATTGTTTTTTCTAGAAATTTTCTTTATTACTATTATATTATTATTAGCATCATTATTTATTGTCATTATTATTATATATTGACAATGAGTGTGAAATATTTTGTGATTTGGATTTTGTAAGATTGGGTAGTGTTGGGGCATTTTGCTGTATTGTGTTATTTATACTGTATGAAATGCAAATGGGTTGTTTTAAAATATTTAATAAAAAATATTTAGTAATCATTGTTTGATGTCATTCTTGATCATTAGTCCTCTGAACTTTGTTAAGTTGTGAGAATATTATTACTCTCAGTAATTGTACATGGTTTTATATTTGCATTTTATTGTTTTTTTCTCTTGAATTGCTTTGTTTAGCAGTTTCATTTATTTATTTTCTACTTCACTCCATTTCCTTCTCTGCATCTTCAATTTCTGGAGAAAGTCCAAGCCTGTTTTATCTCTGGAAGCAACAGAAGAATAAAGCAGGCGGAATATGAAGGATCAGAAAGATATTTCCGTACCTGAACTCTTGTTTAATTGTTTTTACACCTATAAGTAATTTTATTTAACATACTTAGCCATTCAAGTCTATATTTCTACGTCTTCACTGGATTTCATAGCATAGAAGAGAGAAATGATCATAGGAGTTTATAAAGGCATCATTGTCAATTGATAAAGAACAAGGACATGAACTGATGTACAAGTAGAAGTTAGCAAAATAAAGCATGTAATTGTGTATTGACAGATGTAAATATAAAGTGATTTTCCTCAGTTTCAATAGATTTTTGTTATCAGAATGTGTATAGATCTCTTTTGGGAATTCTGTAAGTGTATGTAGATCTGTTTTTTTTATGAGGGTTTGATAAATATAGGGTTTGCCATTTTCAAATGCGTAATAAGTTTCAGGCAAAGACAAGTGGGAAATGAGTTTTTGTAATATTTTCCATATTCATACATGTTATTCCAACTGATTATCAAAAACTTTTTGAAAAGAAAAAGGAAAACATTAGAGTATATAGAAATGAGACATGGGTAAAGAAGTTAGTGGAAAACAATAGCAAAATTGTCATATCCTACTGATATGCATTTTTTTCTTTTCTTTTGAATACTGAATTTTATTACAGATGTTAATTTTAGAATGCAGATATTGTTATTTGCATTTTTTTTTTTTTTGGGATTTTGATTCCTCAGAGTTTATATTCATTTTTTTTGTGGTTTAGAGATCTTCCTTTTGTTTTTTTTTCACTATCTCTTACTAATTATCCTTTTCAGGCCCTGTAAGACCAGTGCTGTATTCTGCATTTCTTTCCAAATAGAAGGAATGAAAAAGGGGAAAATTATGTGAAATGTATTATGTAAATATTGGATTTAGTGATATATTGCCTTCCCATCGATGTCAATATTGCAGATACTGTATTTATTCATATATTTCCATCAATCTATCAGTGATTACTATTAGTTGTCACACACATTAATGGCTTAAAATTAACATTTATTTTTGTGAAGGATATAAATGCACAAAGAGTTAGACTTTAGAACATTTTATTATAAATTGAGACATTATCTGTGGTTCTGATAATGCTTTGCACTCTAGGAGTATACTTATTCATCCATCTTAATAAATATAATATTGAGACTATCCAGATAAAATTTACATAAAATAATCATTATATACAGTAAACACATAATAAATAATTTTCCGAGCTTTCCACTTAGACATCAGGGTAGACACATCATATGATTCCCTAACTGGTTGTGATATTCTCAATGACTTATTTCATACAGCATTGAAAGTTCAAACTCGTACCTGAACAGGCAGTCTTATATATATTCATAACTGTAATTGTATGTATAAAAAAATAGTAATGACAAAAAATGGGTAGCCAATTTCTAAATATACAAAGAAAACAATTTGGGAGTGAGACATAATATTCTTTCATCCATTATTTTGGCATGAATATTATGTCCATCTAAAATGCTACCAATTCCGAGCATTGCTGTTGCTTTTTTGAGGAGTACTGAAGCCCATGTAGCAACTAGTGTAATGCTTAGTTCTGAAGACAAAAAACTTAGTTAAGCTTGCAAGCCCATGTTATCCATTTCACTGAGAGACTGAGACACACATCAAGCTTTACTACTGAACGCTGAATACATCTCATGCCTCAACGCCAGCTGCCAAGCATCACACAAGAGCTACTACTCTTCCTTTTCCTTTTTATATAACAAGTTTTGCTAAAGCACTACTCAAAAAAGATATCCCAGGGTTATTATATGACCTTATCAAAAGACCTTGGCTGTGTTGGAAAAGTTTAGATACCAAACAGATAAAGAAGTGAATTTGCCCGACTTGTAGGGCAGATCAGCAGGACTTCATCCTAAAATTATGGATCCCTTCAAGGATTAAAATCATTTATAGTTTCTTCTGATGAAACATCCATGACTTTACCAGAGACAAGTTTGAGATTGGCTTTCCTACCACAAAAGCTCTCCTAAGGAGCCACAATTTGCAGAAACCGCTTTTGGGGTAAAGTGTATCTCCTAAGTTTGGCTTGTGGAAATTGCACTCAAACATGACTTTGGGTAGATCGATCATAAAGATTTTCATTTAATTACGTAGTTATAGCTTTAAAAAAATTAATGATAACATTAATGATAAAAAATTTTAAAAGACAAAAATATATATGACAGGTTCAGTATTTGAGAATGAGAGGAATCAACAATCTTGTGGAAAACAACAAGACCTGTATATCTAGAATTTTATCATCATTGTAAAAAATAACTTTATTTCATTATAAGCATTGTTGTATGCAATATATTTCCTCAATTCCACATGAACAAAAAAGTTTAGAATAGCGACAGTCTGTACTTGCCTTTGTGGAAAGCTTTAAATACACTTGAATCAAATAGAAAAAACATACAAGCTTTGTCACTCAAGCTACCAGGTATTCTCTTAGTGAACGCAACAGTGGATACTCTAAGACCAACAAAACAGCTAAAACCTGTCACAAATAACTGCAGAATTGAGCAAAACAATCAGCCAGTGTTAATCCGTGGTCCAAGACAACTATTGAGCAGGCGAGAAGAGAGAGAGAGAGAAAAAACGCCATATTTAAGACGGCTGTGGGCTGCAGTGACAAACCATGCTGATGCGAGAGTAAGTATTCTCCCTAAGTGTGTCTGGGGTTCGTGACAATTCAACTTATTCCTTCAAAAAGGGGGAAAAAAGGAATTATCATAATTTATGGATACCTAGTACGAAATTGTTTTTTTTTTGTATTTTTTTTCTATGTAGCTGACAAAAACTCTGCCAGGAAGCACCGGGTAGTATCTATATACGCACTTTGAGCAAGGTTTGATGCACTGTCTGAAAGGCTGTCCTATGCTCATGATTCCTTTATGATGCTGCATGTAAGCTGCTCTTGTGCTCCACCCTTTCTAGAACTTTCTATAACTGATTATAAATGATACATATGTAACCTGCTTTTTAACTATTTTTAGCCACTGGGGAGAGAAAATAACTTTGGATTCTTCTTTCTTTTCTTTTCCTTTATTTCATTTATCTTGCCAACTCCCCTTTTAGTTATTCAAATTTCCTTGTGTCACTTTCAAGAATGTATAGGGAGTTGAAGATAAATCAAAAGGCAAAATCCTGAAGCCGTTTTCTCACCCTAGTCACACTGGTTATGTTTAAGTAACACTGAGCATCAGGCCACAGTAAATAATAGGCTGTACAACACTAATGATGTATATTCATTGAAATTTACCTGCAATTCTTTGTACCTCAAGATTTCACTGAAATAAATAAACACTGGAGAGTTGAAAAAAAAAAATCTTGCTATAACTGTAGATGCATTAAAACAAAAGAATAATGGAGAGTATGAAGGGAGATGCACATTGGAGGGGGAGGACTAAAAAACTGTGTGGTTGAGAGGGGGGGTGTTCTTGTCGCGGACAATGACGTCACAGTCAAAGACGTCAAATTCAATGACGTCACATCCAAACACACTGGACCCAGCTTTCGTTACATGATCCCAGGACTTGTCTATGATCGGGAGGAAGTACAATAAACAGTCTTTTGTTGTTACTGTTTTTTTTTTTTTTTTTTACTTTTTACTTTTTTTTTTTTTTTTTTTTTTTTGATTATTGCACGAGACCATTTTCTTTTTCTTTAAATCTATTTTTAAAGTGATTTGTACCAAAAAAAAAAGAACTTTTTTCAAAATAAAAAAGTGCCTTTATATATGCTTAAGCAATATATATATATTTTTTTGTTTTCTTTCATAATTCTGTTTCAAAGCAAATTTAGTCAGGGCTTGAGGATGCCATTCATGTCATTCTGCAGGCTGTGTAGCTTACTTATATATGGATTTTTGGCCAACACATTTGCAGACCAACACATTACAAATGTGACTTAATACCTATCTAAAAACAGGATATAATAATAAAAAAAAAAGAATAAAAACAAGGTGGAAGGTGAAAATGACTACTCCAATGCATATTAACCAAAACACCTACAATATTATCCCAGAAACTAATAGAATTATTTTTCCCCCTACAAGCATCAAGTAAATGCAGCACTAAGACAATACATGTACAACAGAAATATAAAAAGGTATTCTAAATCCTCGAACCTCTGATTCTTTTCTTTTTTACTTCCTAAATTTCAAAATCACAATCGATCTACATTATAATTTACATCTAATTTTAGATAGGGTTTTCCTTCTCATTTTGATGAAGAGGTTTACCTAGCCTAATAGTGATACATACCACCACAAAAAACACTAAATGATAGAAATGATTAATAATCATAATAATAAAAGTAGCTTTGCATTCTTTATATCTGGGTCATATCACAGCCTACCACACCTGGTGGTGCCTTCCTATCTCTCCAATGAGGGAGACCTTGAAATACCTCTGCCGTCAGCTCTGCCCAATAACCGATATTCAGCAGGAACCTCAAACAACAAAAGTAGTTACTAGGGTCATGATTATGATTCTTTTTATATATATATATACAAAACGGTTCAATATTTTTTTTATCGTATTTTTTTAAGGGGAGGGGGGGCAAGGACTTACTGCCAATGGTTTTAATCCATTACAATGATAATTACTCTAGGAGTCAAAAAAATCTTATATCAATCAATGATAAAAAAGAAATTGCCACTTCTTAGTTTACAATTCACTGGGCCCCGCACATCACAAAGAAAAAAGAAGAAAGAAAAAAAACAATTCTGTAACAAGGAAGGCATCCACTCTCTCCCAAGCCAGCACCTCTCTTGGGAAGGAGGTACGGGTGCATCGTGCTCTGAGTCAGCACTGCTAAAACCAAAGGAATTCCTTCTTACACGTCACATTATTTGATTAAACAGGATCTTACTGTACTTCGCAATCCAGGGCGCTCATAGTGATTACCTACATGAATATTATTATCTATATTAAAAAAATGTAAAAAAAAGATCACATTCCTATATCAGCACTATTGTCGTACTCATGATTCCTGACACATTAAACAAACATAGGATCACGGGTAAATATTTTATGTGCATTACTCATAAAATATTACTAAGAGGAGTTGCGCTGTACATATGTAGCTTCTATTTTATAACACACAAACATACACATGAGCATCTTGTGAGCATTGTGTTATTACCAGGAGGGAATACACCTGGCTATATACGAACCTGAAAAAAAAAAAAAAAATGAAAATAGAAAATCAAAAAGAGATCACACAATGCACATTTTTCCTCGGGTCTTAAACATGACACAGGAAGAGCTGGTAGTCTTCCCCCAATGCTTTCCTTTTCCTTGCTCCCTTCCTTTTTCTATCTCTGGAATCTTTCTCCCCTTATCAAAGAAATTAAAGAAAAAGAAAAGAAAAAATAAAGTTTTAACCCTATACTTCCCATAGTGGTTCATTCCCCTACAAACATATGCCCCATTTGCGGAGACACCAGGACCCTCTTGCCAGTCAACTAGCTCCTCCTTAGCCAGTCACCTCTTCCTTGGCCAGTTACCACCTCTTTAGCCAGTTAAATTCTTGGTAAGTTACTTCCTCCTTGACCAGCTAGATCCTTGGTCAGCAAAATCCTTAGTCAGTTACCTCCTCCTTGGCAATTTAAATTCTTGGTCAGTTGAATCGTGGCCGGTTGCCTTGCTAGCAGAAGTTCCTCTGGCCTTCCGGTCTTGAGGGAAGACCTGCTGATTCTCCTTATAATCATCAACTCTTAGTCTTCAGTCTTCCAGTTCCAATACTCAGACTAGTATAGATTTATTCACAAATTACTTTCCAATTGATATGTAAGTCATTATCAAGTTTGATTTTTTTCTTCCTTTTAAATAACTAACTATTTTTTCTCTATTACTGAAGTCTTTAAATTGGTGATTATGTATACCAGTAATAACAATAATTAGTATTAATAGTGGTAACAATCAAATTTACAAAGAATGGTCACCTACGATAAACAAGTGCAGAGAGAGACCCGAATGTGCCCCAACTTCATAAAACTTTACATTATTGAGAATCTGTGTGCAGCTGCTGCTAAGTATAGTACAATTTCCACTACTGATTGGTGAAGAAGGGATATATTTTGTAAGTCAACTGAAGAATGGAGTTGTCAGCCCCCTCCCAATTGGCAAATCAGTTATGGCAAAAGTAAAGAAGTTATTGAATTTCATTTCAGTCAGTGCTTTTTTTTCTGAAGGGCAAGAAATAAGTGATTATGAATTTGGACATGAAAATGATACTACTAATACACATATGGACATTCATCTGTTAGTGCTCAACTCTTGTGAGTTTTAACCACACACTTATATAAAACAGATTGCACTGCCTGACTATTGCAAATTCAAATAGAAGAAAATTAACATTATATGAATTAATAAATTTCCACCCTTTTGAATTTTATATAAAAAATAGTTAAAAATACGATGTTTAACAGAGACAGTGGTCTGCCAACACAAGGTAGAGACATGCACTATACATTTTTGAGATCAACTCTATATCAGTCTGATTGAGTGTTAATGTCCAGGAAAACATGTACCATCCCATCACCACCAATGTATATATGACTAATCCACTCTTAGATTTGTTCACACATAACATCAGTTTATAGTATTTTCATGGTTCTCTTCTTTTCTTCTTTTTATAGTTATTTATGAGATAGCAATACCTTTAACTATCTTGTTTTCTATCTCTCTTCTTAATACTGGATGTGGCAAGAATCCTTAAGACATAGAACTAGTCATGTGTATTCTAAGGTGATGACATATACGTAAAATTACATAACTCATGAAACTCTCTCAAAATCTCTACACAGTTTGCTTACCTAAAAGTTGTTACATGAATGAATGTAAAAATGTTAAACAGGTCCTTTTTTTAAATATTTTTTTATTTTTATTTTTTTTTTTTTTTTTTGTATTTTTTGTTTAATATATATACCTTTCATGCCAGCCTTCAAGTGCCATTTCAAAACCTCGGACAAGGTTCATTGTATCTTTGGGAGAGGGGAAGGTAACAGCATCTCAATAATCCTTACTCTTGTTCTCGTGGACTGCTCACTAGGCATGCTTTTAGCTACATGGTGCAAGCAGGAACACTCTGCTTGCATGACCTTCACCTGGTGAATCACAGTGCTCATTCAGACTTACTCAGCTAGTAACAATACTTTCAGGGTGTGATTGGAGAACTATTTGAATGTGCAGTTCCTTCCACATACCAACCAGCCAGGCACTTGCAGTAACTACATGCCTACCTAGTTAGTGTGAGTCAAGTTGCTCCCTTTATCAAATTATTATTTCCTTTTTCCTCTTATTTTCTTCCCTTGTTTTATTCCAACACACCCTTGTAAAACACTTACCCAACAATCACAGTAAATATTTGAACTTGTACAGTCCCTGTACCTGTTCAAACTGCCTAGTTGGTCCAAAAATAGACCACACAAATGCATACAATCTCAGGCAACGAAAACATGTATCATGTTTTCATCCTACTTCTACTAAGAATCTTATTCGATGTTTCGTAGCCATGGCTGTGTGCATTCCTTTTTTAAAGACAATCCTTACATCAAAAAACAAATCTAATCTTATTCTTTTTTTTTAGAGCCATTATCTTATAATCATGGCTATACATGAGAAATGAAACCATCAAAAAATTAAACATGATTACAAATGAATAAAAAAAAGAAAATTTCAAAATAGATCCTTATGAATCTGTAATTGAGTTCTACCACTTAACCAGCTTCTTACATCCCCTGATCATACATTTTTTTGTGTGTCTCCATCACGAGTCCCTGTCACAGGAGAGATGGGCATCAATCACATTTCCTATGTATGTCTTCAGTGCCTGCTTCGGGAAGTGATAGAGGTTACCGCTTTTGGTATAGCATTCCACTTTTCCAACCAGCAAATGATCAGGCCACGTAAGCTGCAGACACGACTTAAAAAGTTTATTGTCCTATATATAACAAGACAAAAAAATATTAGCTTTTATCAAAGCACTGAATATGATTTATGTTGCAGAAAGTTGTAGCTTTTTGTTTTTTTAAATGTTGCAAGACATGCGTGAAAAATAATATTAATTATAGTAATGAGACCAGTTTGACCTATGAAGAATTTGGGTTACCATAGTCTCCCCTCCGGCAGTGACATCAGGGGAAACATGTCCCAAGATGTGCGTGCTTGAGGGCAGCAGGACAACAGCAGTTAGCCTAATTGAGCACATTCTGTAGATCAATAACAAGGAGGGAACAAGACACCTCAATGATGTAGGTTAATTCACCAATTTTGAAAATATATATATAACATATACATCTTTTTTCTGTATCCCATGGAGCTCAAGTTGCACAACAGCACTGCATACATATGCTGTGAGCCACAGGACTTAAAACCTTAAATTTGGTGAACTACTCTAATCACAAGATTGGATACACATTGCTAGATTTCCTTGGCACTGGAAAAACTGGAATTTTGACAGTATCACATGACTTTTTTAAACCTAAGTTTATCTTCCAACTCCACTGTTGGACCAGAACAGTTTTACTTCATGTGAGATTTTAGACTGGCCCTTTCTTTTTTTTTTTTACTTTACGACTCAGGCCAGGTGGACAATTAAAACTGTAATTCTAATATATATGATATTTACATACAAGTAGGTTTTTTAAGTCTGTCTTTCAAAATGCCATGGAAGCCTATCACTGTGGCTCATAATGTACATACAACAAATGCACGCAGCAAAAAATAGATATATGTATATATATTTATATATAGTAGTCCAACAAAATACATGCCGATGTAATAATAATACACATTATTATGCTTTATTCTTGCCTTTGCAAGCGATCCACATAGTTTAACTGGGAAACATTATCGTGCCTTTGTCATTACATCAGACAATTGGATTTCTTAACCATTCTAGTTTATTTTAGATACTTTCTGACTGATGGACTACTGTTCCTAACCATTCACATGCAGGGTTTATCTATTCAGTATGTTGCATTCAACACAAGACACTGTACACGAACAACAAGCCTGTCACATGGTACTGTTCGCATCTGCCCAAGGCCTTGCCAGCATGCACACAATCCTGACTCGGCCCAAAACCCAGGCAAGTTGGCTGACTCAGCTCCAGAGAGACGACACTTCCCTTCCATTCAGTTTCGGTGTCTGAGGGGTGACTACTGCACATCCCTTCTCAAAGCTCATTTGCTCTTGCTGGTGAAATGAGCAATTCTGCTGCTGTTACAGTGCATCTGCTGCTTCACATAGGGACAAGGAGAAAATTGGTGATAATCTCACTGAGACAAGCAACAAGCCTTGGAGACTGGGTGTCGGTGAAAGAGTGGCTCTTGGCACCATATCTGAAGTCTGTTTCCTTTTTAAACGAAATAGCAGACCCAAATACACTAAGGGATATTGTATCATTACTAATCTCACAATACTTGCAGTGACCTGGCGAGAGAAAGAGAGAGAGAGAGTACAAGTCATTTTACCATTCCACACATTCCTTGAATGTAGTGCTGATGAGCAATCTATTTCTAATTATGTTGCTGTTGTTTATTTTTAGCTTTTATTTCTCTCTTTTAGAGTTTGATTTTCTACTCTTTTCTTTTCCTTAAATGGGTTTGTTTATTTCTTTGTTTTCCAGGGCTAAAATCTGCTTCAATGCTCTTCAAAGGCCTGCATTTGTCTTCGCAAGTCTTGCTGGGACGAAGAAGGGTTGGAACATGTTCTCCCCTCTCGGCCTTTTTTCCTTTTCTTTTCGCGTGTCTAGACCAATGGCCTTCTCAATGGCTGCCCCCTCATTATCCTTGTCCTTGTGAACAGAAAACTAGTGAGTAAAAAATGTTTTTCTATATTTTTATTTTGTTTTATTTATGTATTTTTTTTTGCTAGTGTGGTTGGACAACTCAAGCTGAAATTTTAGCCACAGAAACCTCTCCCCAATGCTGATTTCATTAAATACCTTATAAAAACCCTGCTGCAACTCCTTTCAGAAGTTATATATCTTTTTTCACCTCATTTCTATACCACTTGGGGCTCGCTTGGGTGTTTTCTCTTCTTTTGGTCGAAGATAAACTAACCATGCAAAAAAAAAAATCTCATAAATACTTCTTGTCTATAAAGCTAGAGTACTCTCCATTACAGTAAAAACTTGAGCAATGATAGCCACAATTAATATTTATAAACACTGTACAGCATATAAAAAATGATAAAAATGCATACAAAATGCCCCATAATCACAAAAAATGTGATGAAGCGAGTACAAAGTTTATAATTGTGCCTGAATCCCCGAGAAAACTGTACTGACCACATGGGGCTACGACGTTCCCATCTTGAGAAGCTGTTCTGTGTGTGGCAGCACGTAGGTGTATGGCTGACAACCTTTCACAAGTCAATGTCCATGTTTGGATACCTTTCTGATTTCTCCACATCTATTCCTTCATTCATAGTATATCATTTTTTTCCTATGATTATTTCCTTAGTATAATTGTCATTACTGTTTTATGAGGACATCATCTATCTTTCTTAGGGTTATCCATATCACGTCATGATTGGTCTTAAACTCTTATTTTATGTCACTGACCACCTATGACGTCACAAGGATCATCCAAGGCAAATCGGATTACCTGTCCTGTCTTCCTTTAGACATGGGCAAAAAATCAATAGCAGGGATACACATAATTTGATGTACTTTGTTTTATTTTTAGTTATGTTTTTAATGTAAATATATATATATATATAGTTATATCACAGTTTAAGTTTTCTGCCAATCGATAAAAAAATGTTAGCAAGGTCCATCTCTCATTTTCCATCCACATGCTGTCCCCAGCTAACCATTGTCTGCCAGCACAATATACAACAGTGCTCAAACGTAACAGAGCAGCTTCAAAATTGACAAGAAATTCATTACTTTAACTTGCACTTTCAGCTGCTATATGGCTGATCCAGCCATACATGAAAATGTTGCAGTCTAATTTGCATATACTATTTACAAAAAAAAGAAATCCTGCAACAGCTATATTCCACTACCAAGACCACTTGTTGCAGTGGCATTGGTCCATATTACACAACTTTTTACTGTACAGAGGTTTCAACTCCTCACAGAGTTCATGAAAGGGAAAGTCAAACTCTATAAACAATCATGGATCCCAAACCCCAACATGACTGTGGCCAAAACTTCAACTTCTCACAAGGATGTGTGTCCAGGCTAGCAATATTTCTCTTCAGAGCAAGTATATAGAGCTGAGCAGAACTTCAACTAATCTAAATATCCCAGCAGTGGTAAGCTCAGCACATTCACTGTATTGACTGGAAACAGCTACACCGATAACAAGGAAATCATCGGAATATTAACACTTTCTGTAATCATGTAACCTGTTGAGTGAGGTAGAAGACAAGTAGGTAGTTGGGAGCATCAACTCAAATGTCTTGAGACATGAGAACCTGTACATATTTGCAAGTTCTTTGCAATATACTTCAGTTGTGAGTTTATGGCCGGACTTGGAAGGTTATTGTACAAATCATTGTCACTTAGAAACATTATATGCAAATTCCTACTTTGTTTCACAGCAATTATGATCAGTTTATTCTTTTTGCCTTTTGACATCAAAAATAAGAATTTTGCACATGAAACTTCTAGAGCGAGGATTTGGGCAGTATGCGAGATGAGGTCACTCTATGATAAATGTCACATTGGCTCTAAGCTACAACAATTAACATTATCTAGTAATGATCTCTACAGCCGGAACCTATAGCAGGAACTCGCTTGGAATACACATATGATGGTCACATATGAAGTTTCTAAACACCTTGGAGTTAAGGAGCAGCTCCGAGAGAGTTACCATGTTCAGGCTCTTGGTAGTTTGACAAGCTATTATCCGACTCCTGGAGCGAGGAATGGGAGGGGGTCGGGGATGTCAGGAGGGACGAGATGGGCGATGTCAGACTTGAGGTGAGGCTCAGTCCAACCCCACTACTGCTGGCAGTACTGCCACTGCTGATACTCTGGCCATCATCCTTGTATGGCAGGGGGGAGAACAAGGGCTGATACGTGTTGCTGTACTGGTCTGAGAGCGGAGCAGGGCTGTATGGCGTCTGGGTATATGAGGGTGGGTTGAGGTATCCCGGGTCACCAATAGGAGACTGGCAGTGGTCTGGGTATGAAGGCTCTGTTGGGTGATGCTCAACAATGTAGCTTTCTTGGTTTGGGATGTAAGGAGCAGGTGAAGGAGCCAGATTCATAGAGTGTGACGAAGGACTTGGCAGCTCAATGGGACTCTGGGACAACTCAAGTGACTGTGGGGAATTCATGAAGGACACTGGAGGCTTCATATCCTGGTAGTTATTAAGTAGATTGGTTGAACTCTTGATGATCTGAGACACAGTAGCATTTGGGCTTTGGCTCAGGTTGTGGGAAATGTCCAGCATAGTGGGAACACCTTGGTTCATGTTGGAGGGCTGCATCATGCCTGGAGACGAAGACTGAATCATACTGTGAGGAGAGTCCATCATGCTGTGTGGTGACTGCATCATGCTCTGGGGAGATTGCATCATGCTGTGTGGTGAGGGGAGCATGGGGTGTGGGGACTGGAGTAAGCTGTGTGGGGACTGGACCATGCTCTGGGGGGAGTTGCAGTGCAACGGTGGTGAGTGGACTAAAGGGTTGTTGCCTTCTGCAACCATATCTGTCAGTGAAGGATCAGCCTCCATGTTCTGCAACATCTGCTTCATCTGTTCCAATCCATTGCCTTGCAGCATCTGTTTCATCTGCTCAATGTCCATTCCATTTAACATCTGTCTTATCTGCTCTCCTGTCAGTGAGTCAACTTTATGCTTCACATCCAAATCAGTGAGGTTGAGGTCCTGGCGGCACTGACTGATATGCCCAGCAGTGATTTGTGGCCTTATATTGTTCTGCATGTTTGCACACATCAGATTCCGGCGCTGGACAGACATGTTCTCAAACAGCTCCGAGTGGCGTCTGACAGCCTGTAAGGTTCGCATCAACCCCTCAAACAAAGGCTTCCCTGATACTTCCCCAAACTTCCACAAAATATACTGCTGCAGAATCCGCTGAAAATTCTCTCTTGTGGAATCCTGGCCATCACAGTTAAACACAATGATAAGGACCAGGAGATAAGCCATGCGGGAATCCACATTGTACTGTCGGAGGGAGCCTAGGATCTCTCTGAACTTGCTGAAAACTTCAGGGGACATTGCTTTCTGAATCATGTTCATGTTAGTAACCATTGGCTGAGCTGGAGAGTGGATATTGTTGTAGCTGCCAGTCTCCTCGTTGATGAAGCTGGAGGCAAACACTAATGCAATGACCGTGATATTTTTCTTGATGGCCATTCCCTGGACCATGGGTGTGAGGTTGTTGAACTCTGGGAACTGCCTGAGGAACCGTGTCAATCTCTCAGCAAAGCGCTTGTAGATGGACATAACGTCAGCTGGGGCGTTTTTGGTGTAGGGCAGCTGCTGGTCAACCAGCTTGATGTTGCTGATCACACGGGTTAGCATATCGACCTCACTCTCATTCAGGTACTGCGATGCTGGGTTGAACACTCGCTCCACCCTCATTTCCTCATCATCACTTTCCCTCTTGATGCCTCTGCCAATGACCCTGTCAGGACTCTCTTCCTTGGTGCCACCTTGCTGCATCACCTTGGGTGGGATTGGCCCGTACTGTATGGGTGTGAGGGGTCCTGAGACGGGTGTGGGCGGAGAGCTGTTTGGAGAGGACCCAGAGGAGCCAAGGTCCACCTGGCGTGTGGGCGGGTGGTAAGTGGGTGAGGGATTCGTGTTGTGTTGGTAGCGTGACACCTGTGTTTTGGAGGAGGAATTGGTGTGGTAGGGCGAGGAGGCATCCTTCATGACACCACTGGATGCTGTACTGCATGCCCTTCCACCACCCCCAGCACCACCTACACTGCCCCCACCACCTGAGCCACCAGTTGAGCCACCCTGCTGGTACATCATCCGTTTGGTGAGGCGTGTCTTCATCAGCTGTAGTCTCTCGTCTTCGCTCATTACCCATGACTTTGTCATACCGATGCTCTCACACTTTGCAAACCTGTGGCACAAGGCAAACAATATGATCACAGAACTACTTCATGCTTTATTGAGAAACAGCATGTACCTAGATATCAGAAGTCTAGAAAGGTTTGTCTTTAACATGAATCTATCTAAAGAAGAAAAACCATATAGTATACAGGCGCTTATATAAATGTTTGCTTTTCATACACCACTGGCTAACCTAAGTCTACTAAGAAGATCAAATAAAACCAGACCAAACATGACCATTCTGTGAACATATGAACATATTTAAAATAGATGAATTTTCTGGCAAATTGACTGACTATCTCACTGCCTGACTAACTGACTTAATAATTATCTGACTGACTGATGAATGGAATAGCTCCCTGACTATTGAACAGGCTTTTCTTTCTTAAATATCAATGAGAGAATTAATGGAGTCACTTACTAACCTGCAATATTTACAAAACTTCCTTGAAGCAATGGAGATGGCGCACTTCTGGTCCCCCCCACAGCGGAAGTGCTTGTAGGCGTCATTCTGGACAGAGCGTCGGAAGAACGCCTTGCACGAGTCACATGAGAGGCCGCCGAAGTGCAGCGATTTTGCAATGTCTCCGCACACCTGCAATACATAAGAAGCTCAGTATGAAATAGCACTAAGAAAATATCAAAATGATTTCTTATATTGGAGAGAGAGGGATGAGGTTATCTATTATGATCAATAAATCACTTCATATCCTCGAACTGAGATATAATGTGAGGACTTGTTAACCTAAGGAATATTTATTGAGCAAATGATTTGGTATACCTACAAAATCATTGTAAGGAAGGATGAGTGTATCAATGGTTTGTTATATACAATACAAAATGTTCAATACACTTATCACAAGCTTTGTGTTATGGTTTAATTGCAACATTCTCCAGCAATTAGCTTTAGTCTATAGATTTATTTCTGCCATTTTACTAATATAGTAAAGTGCTTTGCTGTTATTCCTTATCATTCATGAAAAAAATGGTCAAACTCAGGAAAGATAACAGTGGTTCTTCTCAAATGAATTATGAAATAAACAATAAGGAATGAGTTATTATGGAAAACATAAACAAATACCTGAATAATCAAGAACATATACAGGGAGATATGTGATATATGTGGCACATGACAGATGAGGAAGAAAGAAAAAGGGAGGAGGGAAAGGAGGAGTAAGATGGAGAGAGGGCTAAGGAAGAGGAGAAGAGAAGTTTGGCAGATGAGGGATGGTAAATGGGGTGGGAGTGAGAAGGAGAAGAAGAGGAAGTGACAGCAGTAAGAAAAGCAAAGGAAAGAGAGAGCCTGTGAGGGAAACTGGGGCTGTGAGGAGGAAGTATAAAAAAGGGAGTAAGAGAGGAAAAGAGAGGGAGTTTGAAAGGAAAAAGTAAAGTAAAAAGACTAACAGTAAGAGATAATGAGAGAGACAGTGGGGAAGGGGAAGAGAAATGTGAATATCAACACTAAGAAGAACTGAGTTAGTGGCAGGGGTGGGGGGGAGGGGGGAAGAGAGGTAGCAAAAGTAAAGGGGGTGGGAGGCGGACTCTACACAGGTACAGAAACAGAGTCACGATGTCGCTACTTAATGTACCAAGTGACCCATCCTGTACCTAAAATCACTCGAAAAATCAATAACAGTCAACTCCCTCAATCTTATCCTCCTAACCTACACATTTCTCTTCTCTCTGCTTCCTTTATTCTCTCCGTTTCCCTTTCTCTTTCTCTCTCTCTCCTTCTCCCTCTCCCCCCCTCTCTCTCTCTCTTCTCTCCCTCTTCCCACCTCTCTCTCTCTCTCTCTCTCTCCTCTCCCTCTCCCTCTCTCTCTCTCTCTCTCTCTCTCTCTCTCTCTCTCTCTCTCTCTCCTCTCTCTCTCTCTCTCTCTCTCTCTCTCTCTCTCCTCTCTCTCTCTCTCTCTCTTCTCTCTCTCTCTCTCTCTCTCTCTCTCTCTCTCTCTCTCTTCTCTCTCTCTCTCTCTCTCTCTCTCTCTCTCTCCTCTCTCCTCTCCTCTCTCTCTCTCTCTTTCTCTCTTTCTCTCTCTCTCTTCCTCTCTCTCTTTCTCTCTCTTTCTCTCTCTC